ATTAGTGGGATAATGAGTGATGGTAAAAATAATGTAACAAATTGAAACCTTTCTAATTGCTGAAATTCAAAAAAGCAAACCCTAATCGCGTGGTTTCTTTATGGGAATTTAGAGCATCCACAATGCTTTGGGTCTCTTTTTGCATATGTGGCAAATAAATAGACTTAAGTCCATAATGACATGGACAAACCTAAACTAAAAAAACCAAAATCTATCCAATGCAAAACAAAAAAGTACTAGGTCTAAAATACATGACAACCAATAAAAATGCTCTAGTATATTTTATTTATTAAAAGAAAAATTAAAAATGATGAGTGTTTGGGTTTGTACTTGGGTCTAAAATAGACCCAAGTGTGGACTAGGTCTCATTTTTTTATTGCCACATAAGCTAGACTAGGTCCACTTTTAATTGCATTGGAGAACAATTTTTTATAGACTATGTCTATTTCTTACATGGCATGTAACTTTTTTCTAAGAGACCCAAAGCATTGTGGGTGCTCTTACAAATTGCGAAGACAAAATTCTTCTGATGCGATGTGGTGTGGTGTTGCTTTTTTCTTTGCTTCCTTTTCGTTTTTGTTCCTACGTAACTTCTCACCGTCCTTTCGTGTCCCCTTTGTCGGGAACTCATATAATATCTCATGCAATAAAGTAAATGGGATTATCTATGGGAAATGTTAAAGTTCGAAAATATTTTGTCGATGTTTGTAACCGTTAGATTATCACGTAATTGTCAGAAATAGTTGATCTAACAGTTACAAATCTCGACGGAATAATTTCGTAACGACACCATAACATCTTTCATCATGTATATGGCTAATAGTGCTTTTTAGGATAGCTTTTTGGCATACAATGGACAAGTTATTACTAGGCAATCTTTAGGAGAGTTTTTCTTCAACTAGTATGATGGAATATATGGTAGATTTATTTGTTATTTAAGTAATTAAAGAATATAGTAGATTTATTTGTTGTATATAGAAAGTTGGTTCCACTATAGAGCCAACTGTTAGATTTATAGCAAAATTGATCCTAACATTAATATAATTTTATTAATATGGTAGATTTATTTGTTATTAAGTAATTAAAAAATATGGTAGATTTATTTGTTGTATATAGAAAATTGGCTCCACTATAGAGCCAACTGTTAGATTTATAGCAAAACTGATAAGTTGGGATCGTTCATTTCAAAATAATATTTCATAGCTCTAATTAGATTAACTAGTACGAATCCCGTGCGATGCACGAGTAAGAGATATTCATTAACATTTATAAATTAAAAATGCTCATTAAATAATATTTATAAATTTAAAATATAAAATCAACTCGTACGGTGCACATAACTGATATTAAACTACATTATATCATTTCAAAATAATTGTCGTTTTGAAATTTTTATTCAGAAATTCAATTTAAATACAATGTGGTTACATAAAATAATTATTTTGATAAATTTTATCAATATTTAAAAACCTATGTGAATAATAAGTAAAAAATAAATTTTTATATTATTTAATTAATTAAAATAAAATTATTTTTGTATAAACTCTTCACTTCAAAAAAATTATGCAGTTGAGTAATTTTTTAAACTATAAGTAATTGACTATTCTAATTACCTCCAAGTTAATAAATAATTACTTATTTTCATTTTAAATTTGGAATCTAAATTTGGACTACACAATAAACATCCTTGTATATTTTATGTATATCTATATTTTACCAATCTCAAAATTTTCTAGATTGTTGTCGGCTACCTTATCGTCAAATTTATCAACTAATTCTCTATAATTATATAAATTTTAAGTTTTATTAACAAATATTTGTTCAAATATTTTTCTAATTTTTGAGAGAAATACACACCAATTTTCTTATCTTATGGCAAGTTATTATGTGAATATTTTAAAACAGTAAAGCTTGAGAATCATATCACCTTGATTTTATAACAAATCAACCTAAACTTCGACTTTCATACTTGTACTAAATACAATTCATACCACTTATTTTATTTTCAAAATTCAAATACACTTTTCTTCATACCAAATGAAATTTATACTATTTATGTTCGGACATTTTATACCAAAATAAAATCACCCTCTTTTTATTCATCATAATACTCAACTATTGTTTTATTCAAAGATTTATTGTCATATAATATGTATTAAGATAATTTTGTAAATTAACCACTAAATTTTATTATATGCAATATTTTGATATTTTTAACAAAGTAAATTTTATACTCTTACAGCTTACGCAACACGGAATTCTATTTACGCTACGTAGTATAAGAACTAAAACTCGACGAATTACTTTTTAAATATTTTAAAACACTAAAAGATATACAATTTTAATATAAAATGGCATTTATGCGAGATTACATTTTTTTAAGGGGAAACCCGTGCGTCAGACATGGCTTAAAATTTCAAATATTGATTTGTTAAAAATTAAGCAAATTATTTATTTTTGTAAACAAAAACAAATAAATTTTATAAATTCTCAATAAATTTTTCAAATCGTTTCCATTTTATTTATCATATTACTATATAATAAAATCAAAATATTTTGAAACTCGAAATTAAAGCTATATTGGCGGGTTTTTTTCGATTATTATTTTTTTAAAAAGATTACCAAATTTATAGATATAAATATTGATGTATAATAAATTCAAAATATCATGGGCATGTGTTTCCTGTATGAAATGATGTACCAAAATTTTAATTCCAATATCAATTGGGATGTTTATGGAAGAAAAGACATACCACAAAAAATATGTACATACATTGATTTCTAAGTCAATTGGTTTTTTGTTTTTTGTTTTTTTTTTTCAAATAATCGAAAAAAAAAAAGATAAAATGGAGAAGGTAAAAATCTAATTTCATTTTTTCTTTTTGTTAAAAAATCAAAATACAACCTAAAACAATTAGTCTCCCGTAAAAATAAATAAATAAATAAGTAAAATAAAATAAATATAAATTTGTTTCTTTAGGTAGCTTTATTTTCGGGAAACAAAAGTAACAAATTCCATAATTTAATGCTGCCCTATTTTAGAAAAATAAAAATAAGAAAGTTACTAAAAATAGTAGGTAATTAATGTTGGCCAAAATTTGACCTACTATTTTAGAAAAATGATAATCCTTTTTATATAAATATAGATAAGAACATAGTATGATGCCAAGTGTTACCAATTATATCACATATCTCAAATTGGATTAATAAGAAAATAGTTCAACCTGGAGAAGTCAGTTTGCACTTATATGAATGGTAAAGCTCGAGTTAGGGCGTGATTGTTTACATTTTTTACCGTGAATATTTCACTCAAAACTCAAATTTTAACTCAACTCCGCTATCTCCAATATTATTAATATAATTAAACAATATCAACCAATCATTATTACACATCACATCAACTTTAATTCACTATTGATCTACTCACATAATTTTAACTAACCACCACTTCCAATCATTTTTTTCTACTTTTGCATCAAAACAACTTTAATTATTTTAATTTAAAATATTAATTTAATATATTCACTAACATTTAGCCATACTATTTTTTTTAAAAATTTAACTATAGTTAAAAAAACTAGATTTTTACAGTTGAATTCATATCCAATCACCCTCTTACTGTCCTGTACATGAACATAAATGTGCTTTAGGTCATGGCGATTAAGTTTGAAACGTATATTTTTAACTCGAGTGCGAAAAACGATGTAAGAACGTGGATAAACAGCGTAAATAGCGGAAGCAATAAACCGAAGATGTAAAAACTCTTCAGGGAAGCGTCCCACTTCCCCTCATAGCTCTTTCATTGATAAACCGTTGAACACTTGTATAGTTTGGACTTACACGACTCGAACTCCCTTCTAGTCTAGCCACAACTACACACGATCCTATCAATTACTTCTCCGGCCACGTCCCGTGGACTTCTATCTCTCGAATCCCTCGAGCTAACCACTGTACTTAATCCCTAAGTACTGATCACAAAAGTGTTTTAATGAAATTAAGGAAAACAAACTAAACAACTTTAGTTCTTGGATGCGTAAGAATCCTTGAACTGAACTGTGAACAAAATAAAACTAAAAAGGCTTGAAGCTCGAATATTGAATGGAAGATAATTATTTCAGCAGCATATCTTCGATCTTCAAGCAGGGTATATATACAACTCCTTATGGTGGAGTCTTCTCCAAGTTCTTCCTTTCCTTTAGGAGTCAATTTCCTTCTCAATTGATTGCTTTTTGATTTGGACGAAATCTTTCATGTAAGGTAAGTTTCCTTGATGTGGAATTCGTGCATGTGATTTGGAGATCTTCAGAATTGAACTTCCAATGGAAATCTTGCCTTCCAGAATCCGGTAAGAACCTGACTTTCCAAAAATAGCCGATCTTCTAAATCTTCAAAGATCTTGTGGTGAATCTTTCCAAATCCTCCTTAGATCTTCTCATGAACATCCAGAACTCTTCTTGTATGGAAAACTCATCCTTTCATAGTCCTTGCCACCTATTCTTTGTCCTACAAGCAAAAGAGAACTAATTATGGAATGTGGCATATATGATAAGTAAATATATATGATATATATTATGTAATCCTTCTCCTAAAGGATTAAGATTCCATAATACATACTACAATAAATATATACCATATATATATTATTAATAATAAATATTAGAAACTTAATTAAATCACAAGTAAATAAATAGAAAAACTTCCCTTTAATTTATTTTGCTTGCTTAACAAGAAATCTTCTAAAAAACACTTAGGTTTGTCGGACATGATGCCAAACCAATGTTCTTACAATCTCCCCCTTTGGCATTCAGTTCGAAAACCGTGTTTCTTGAAGATAACCTACAAAATAAACTCAAAACAGCAAAACAATTATCTATGTTCGAACATCAGGAAGTAAACTACTCAAACACCTGCAATGTAAGAGCATCATAACAGTTCCTTTCAAAACAACTATGAGGACTATGATCAGAGCAATCAAAACACGTCAAGATATCAGAACCTAAGTCAAATAGAGTGACCAATGCATCTCTCCCTGTCAGAATAGACAAAACAATCAAACAACAAAACATACATGTTCTTACATCCTGTAGAAACAAGTCAAAAAACAACAACCACAAGTAATCGGAAGCAAACAACTAGAACATAATCCCGAACATCTTCAGAACTATCCTATTTCTCCCCCTTTTGAGACTGAAATGCCAAAGGCAAATCCCCCCCTGAGTAAGAACATCAAATGAGAAAAATAAAGATGACCGAAGACAAAAGACGTTGCTTGAACTGATCTTCAATCGTTGATATGTTGTCCATCTCTTCTCCAGGCCTTTGCCATCAGCCAAAGTGTTTCAGAAGCACATTCGAAAATGATGCAGGAACACAAATGGTTAAATGAATAATTCATAGAGAAAGAGAAATGAAATGGGGTTCTCAGGTTCCGAAAATGAAGATATAAAATGAGGGCAGAATAAATGAAAAAATGTCAGGATGTAATGGGTAAGGTTTAAAAATCAAGGGAAAGGTTAGATACTCTGCAGTAAGAACATTTCCATCAAAACTGAACACACAAACCCATTAACACACTAACACATGTGTCCAACTAATTCAAAATTAGGAAGAATAAGATTTTATCATCCAAAA